CTCTTCATCTTTCGTGATCTTCAGGCTCTTCTCATGGAGAGTCCCGTCTAACTGTTCACATTTTTCCACCAACTGATCAGTTCCTCCCTCTTCCCCTTCTCCTTTCCATTTTTATTTGCAGCGTTATCTTCATCAAATCCCCAGCTGACCCAGGATATTTCCCACATTGCCAACTTTCTCATTATCTGCTCTTACCCGTGGACAAATACAGATAAGGCGAAAATTGAATCACAGATAATTGGATTTAATTTGATTTGAGTCTTTCGTGACTGCAGGAATCCATACTCTTTGGTTATTTCGGTGAAGTCACGTAGGTAGAAAATTAAAAAAATATATATCACGACGTTTCGATCGCAACACAAGCGGTCGTCCTCAGGCGTAAAAAATAATCCAGCAGTGGAACTGCTGCAGCAGCGCTTGTGTTGCGATCCTAACGTCGTGATATATTATTTTTTGTTTTATTTTTCTGTCTACGTGACTTTACTGAAAGAACCAAAGAATTGGATTTGAGTCACTATTCCCAATGTGTGTGTTGTGTGTCTTGTTTTCCGCTCCATCTGTATGAGTAGGAGATGCCAACCCCGTGCATTGTGTCCGGTTTCTTCACCAATGCTGCAAAACTGCACCACAGTGAATCTTACAGGTGCAGTTTCTCCATCCTGCCTCATGTTTTAATGTGACGAAGTGGTCATGTGCCTTAAGGGTTATTGAGATTATCGCGAAGGTTAGAGAGGTTAGACTTTGATGGTATGTGTTGAGAAGAGACAAAGGAGGTGTAAGGGAAAGTTGCTATGGAGATGCTACCGATGCAGCACCAAAGGAGTAGAGCACGACCGAGGGGGAGATGGGAGGCTGCGGTGGCACGAGACACGAGGACGGTGGATATGACGAGAAAAGAGGCACGGAATGGAAGCTCACGGAGAAAGGAAATAGAAGCAGCTGACTACATGCAATAATGGAACATTTGGCTTAGAATAAGAAAAGTTGGTTGTGTGGTTCAGGGCAATCAGAATGGCTATGTCCTACATGAAGTGAGCACTGCTGAGCTCCTGGATTAAGAGGGGTATCTACCTGCTGCTCTGAAAGAGTTCACAATGGCCAGGGTCAGATACACTACGCTGGGACTGTTGACACCTGAGGTTGGATCCCTGGTAATTTCTGTTTGTTTTTTCAGGGGTCTGAGTGTACGTGTGTAGAAATTGGCGTATGTGTTGCAGGAGGCTAGTGGCTACAAATCCAGCGACCTAAGTTTGATTCCGTGCCATGGCTCACATCAGTGGTGAGTGATGTCTGAACCAATTCGAGTCTCCTGTATGTAGACTCAGCTCCAAATAAGTGCATGTTTCAGCGTGTATTAACATCAGCAAAGGGAGCTAGGCTTGGAACTGGCCCCATCACCCCATTGTGCACATTGCCAGTCTTAATAGGCACATGCCAGCAGCACTTGCCTGGCAGCCTGTATAAACGATGTGACTCTTTGTGTTTTTGTTTTGTGTGTGAGTGTACGTATGTGTGCAGTGGTGGGGAGTGGTATTGTAGCGCTTAGTGAGCTGCACTACGAACCTGGTGACCCGAGTTCGGTCCCGCTCATGGCCAACACCAGTGACGATTATCCGAACCGGTCTTCGGCCTCCTCTATGTCGACTCAACCTGAAATCAGTACCTGGTGCGGTGTGTAAACATAACCACTTGGGAGACGAAGGCGGCCGGGCGTGGTGCTGGCCACCCAGCTCCAAGTATGCCAGCCGGACTTCATGGGTTCTTGCAAACACCACTTGTTCCAAAAGTTTGGTAAAGGCTATATGGGGTATCTTTGTCTTTGTATGTGTACATGCTTCTGGGTCAGTGTCTTTGTCAGAGAAACTGATCTAACAGTGCTGAGATTCTTCATGCCGTCCCCAGCTTTGACTGTCTCACTGGGTTCATCATGGCCATGTTGTAGACGTGGACAATTTCATGCAAATGTGCGTGTTATATATTTTTTGTTGATATTAATGGCAGTAGACGTCTGTTGACTAGTACTCTGATTTTACACTTTTTAGTGGAACAGGAAGGTATGAGATGACTTTCAGCTCCACATCCACACCCACCTCCGTGCTCAATGCCAAGAAGCCACTGTATTGGTAATAAACCCGCAATGTTTTTTATTTGTAAACCTGCATTTTTTTCCATATTTTCCCAATTTACCGCGACTGTGCTCTCGCCATCATGTCATGGGTCCCCAAGTATTCATTCGTGTCTTACAGAGCAATACAAGCCTTGTGTTAGATCATAGCCCACTAAATCTGATATCACAGAGCTACTTTGTACCCTTTAAATTGACCTTTCGTCCACATAGTAAATGGCAGGACTTTCCCACCCGTTCCTCATATGGGAGTAATGTTAGTCGTAATAATGTTGTGACTTCTCATAGCTGGAAATATATCCCAATAAAGTGCAGAATGACAGTAATGTGATGCATTATTTTGTGTAGTCAATGACGACCGGACTGAGACCATTAACTCACTCGATTGAGAACCCGCTTTAATCACAGGCAGCTGCCTGGATTCAAACTCAGGTACTCGGTGGTGCCAGTTCAGTGCTCTGGCCTCTAAACACCCACGTGTTAAATACATAAGCAACCTTTTTAATTAGTAACATTCTTTGAACACTTTGCCAAAACAATTGGGATTGTGGAGCTGTGGCACAGTCATGATATTGCTTTTTCTCATGCCTCTGCTGGCAGAATTTCCACGAGGATGCTCGTGTGAGAGCCCCTTTACAAAATATTTGGTCTACTCTTTCACACTGGTCATATGTTTTACTGCATGGTAGATAGGCAGGGGAATTTAAGATTACTTGACCATTTGTTTCAACTGCTGTGCCAGAGGGTCTAACGAGCAACCTCTCTGTTGCCAGGCCAGCGTGCTAGGCATTGCACCACAGCAGCCCCCTCCAGTATTTAATTCTAAACGAAGGTCACTCTCTGCGTGCTTGTGTGCACGCGCGTTTGGGTGGTGTTGAACGAGATGGTGCAGACGTCTCGCTTCTTCGTGAGGAAAGTGATGGCACTGGAGCCGGCCTGGCTCACGGGACTCGCTCCGCGCTTCTCCTGGCAGAGCGCCGTCTGGAGGCCCCGTTGTCGCCACTGCGCTCCGGTGACATTCACCGGGCCACGGTTCATTTGGTTCGTGAAATTAGTGGCGAAAACAAACGTCAACAAAGTGACTTGTTTTATTTCATGCAAAGATAATGGGAGGTCGAAAATCATCAAATGGGCGGTGACCGCCTAGCAGTCGTGCGTTTGCCGCTTATTACGAAGGTGCGTGGTTAGAATCCAGCGGCTGCTCGGATTTGATACTGCGGGTTTATTAACTGTAAACATACACTCGGTCTGCTTCAGAGTGGACATTAAAGATCCCGTGACGTCATTCGCAAGGTTAGGCCATTGTGTGGCGGCATCATGAGTCATGTTATTCTCATGAACAGTTGTGCCCGAATGATTCAATTGGGAATATACATAGCAATCGTAACCCCCTCCTGTGAGAACCTGGCAAGACTCTTCTGAAAAATAGTCACTGTGCTCAGTGACGCTTTGCTGGGTAAATCAGCATGATAACCACTGTGACATGAGCCTGTGAAGCAGTGGTTTGAAGTTGGGGTTTGGTGGGATTTGTGGAGATGGAGCCATCGTGTTTGCTGGGGGCACGCGCCTGCAGGGTGATGGGATGGTACCTGTAGGATTTGGTACAGCAAGTATGCTTGACATAGAGTACGTTGCATGTTCGTCCTGATCAATTCACCGGCCACACCCAGTGCAGCATCTTTGCATGTATTGACTGTCATTGTATATAGATGTTCAGTCACATATACAAACGTTTCACCGATCTGCCTATACCACACTCCCCAGCAAGTCGGATATGCGACGTAGTACTGAATGACTTAGCTTGAGTGTTATCCCGTGGTTTCTGTGGGCTTTCTCTGGTTAATTTCCATACGTATAATATTCAAAGGGACAGATTGCAAACAACATTGAAATGAAATGTTTTCCTTTTTAAACACAATAAGTTTGTACAAAATTAGTGAAAGTCATGTTCAAATACTGCTTGTAATGTATATATTGTAGGAAGATTACTTTTACGGAATGTTTTGTTGCACTATACCCATAACAAAACTCTACTAATAAGAAAAAATGTTGTGGTAATCCGTCGTGAAACATTACTCTATGCTCTCAATCAGCAGCCATGATGGTCACTGATCAAGGCTACTTACCACCCTGCACTGTCCTGTGATGCCAGGACCCGTCCCCTGCACACAGCCCATCTCATCGTTCCATTTCCACCATGGGCAACTTCCTGCGTGGCGAGTTTTCTCCCCACTGAGTGTACATGACAACGTTGCAAGACCCATGCTGCAAATTTACATCTAAAATCCAAGCACATACACTTTCATAGGAAGTGTAACCTTCCGGCTACAGACAGGAGCAAATGTTCGGAATAGATTTAGGGGTAGGGTGGATAGTATGGTTATGAGTATTAGTTGTAATAATTGTGCCTTGTATGTATCCAAAGTAAACCATAAGGGAGGGCCAATATAGGTTTGTATTAACTTAAGGCTGATTTGACCTAGGGGAGACCTAGTATAGGTTCAGACTAATTTAAGGCTGGGTTGACCTAAAGGTGAAAGCAAGTTTCCTAAATTCACAGTGCCTGTCCACCCAGCAGTAAAATAGGCGCACTGCAACGAGTTTATCGGCAATACGCATGTGGGTACTTTCCAAGACGCCTGTCCATCTTGAAAGATAATTGATAATCCTCGAGGAGCTCTTCAGAGCTCCCCCAGTTGAGTTCCTTCCGCCGGCAGTGGTGTGAGCAATCAGCTGCATGTGGATATTTCTGAGATGAGCACTTACACTAAAACAATGTGAAGTTAAATGTACTTATTTTCACATTTCAAAAGAAAATTTGTGACCAAAGATGGAATTTTACTCATCGCCAATATTTGTTTTGTGATGCTGGCAGATTCGTATGTGGACGTCTCCGATTCCAAACAGTATTCCTCTTCTGTGAAGATGTGGACGACGGACTTGTCCCAGACCCCCATTCTCCACCGAGGACCACACGCGCTGCACACGAGCCACGTGTCGAGTGAACCCCAGCAGCGACGTCTCGATGTTCCTGCCTGCCCACTGAATGACACCTAGCAGCGCAACAACACTGGATTAGAGTTGCAGTGCACAGTAGTGCAGAGGCGGGTCTATAAACTTCGTAACGGGAGAGACGGTAGCGCCGACATTTTAAGCTGCTTAAAACACGTCTTACTGGTAAATATCAATAAAAGATTATTTGGGTCTTTTGGGAAAGCCACGTAGAAAGAAGAAATAACACTAGAAAATCAATTTTGGCGTCTCAAGGGGGATGCGATCGCCCCCATCGCCTCACCCTTGGATGGAACCCGCACTAATGGCGTGATCACAAAGGTGTACAGCAAGCGCCGGGCATCTTAAAAGTGTTGAGCAGCCAGTCTATGCAGACGTGGGCTCTCCCATGTTCTCTGGAGCAGGGCTCGGTGCAGCCGCACGTGACCCTTGCGTCATTCCGGTTCCTTCAGAGGCTTGTCCACCTGAACCACTTGACTGGAGAGATTGAGATGGGGAAGCCGGGAGCATCTGTTTTAGTAAAGGAGACGGTATCCAACACAGTCCCTTCACGTTTGTACCGTGATTGCTACTTTAAAGAAAGTCTCATGGTTTAAAAATGGAAGATGTTGCTCACGCACTATTCTCTCTGTTTTGTGTGGAAGAGGATGATGACGGCCCAAGATATCTGTTTTTGAAAGATGTTACATCCAGGTGCTCCAGCATTAACTAACATTATTTAGAACTGATTTAAGTACTTATTAGCATGGTTGGATATGTATGGTACGAAAGACGTTCCACATACGTCCAGCAACCTGCTGTGTCAGGATATTTCTTCAAATTCAGCCTAAAAAGTCAATAGTGCACACTTTCAATTGAGTATTAATTGAGAATTATGAATGTGGATTATGTGATAACCTATGGTTTGCATGTTGAAAGTTTTGTGCAACCCCGTAGTGAATTTGAGTGATTTTGAATAAGGCTAGTCCTTAAAGGCAACACAATTTTGTATAAAATTGTATTTCATCCAAGATGCTGTTTAGTGCAGTCCTAGTGGTACAGTACATGAGTTGGGGGAATCTTTGCATGTCTACATGTCTGTGTCAACCATACTACGTATGCGGATTATCTGGCGATTGCTTCCCACTGAGAAAGAGTTGCAGATCCTACTGCTGAACCTGGAGCATGCTACTTCAGAAATAGCGCCTTGCCATTGGCCCCACAAAAACAAAGTACCTGCCTGGGTATTTTATGTCATCACATGCTCCCCTCCATTAACGCCTCATAAGTGATGGGATAGTTGTGGGGAGAGTAGAGAAGTCTCTGTACTTGAGGAGTGTGCTTATGACCAGGTTTGGAAGCCGAGGTCTCTGAATCAGTCGAGTGACATCTTTTCATCAGCTGTGTAACGCTATGTAGAAGCTACCTGGCTTGTTATGCCCTCTATGCTTGTGAAACGTGTAGCCCTCTTAATGGAACATCTGCATAACTTTTAAACCTTCAGGCTAGCCATACGATCCATTCTGGATTTAACCAGACTGGATTGTGCGAGGAACCCACAGAACCTTGAAAGATCTGGACACTTCCATCGGTGACATGTAGCCTGCATACCTAGCTCCTGCATGCCAGCTTCTGTTTGGCCGGATAGATAGGGCTAAATGGGTGTGGCACATACTAGGGAGATGGAATACAGTGGTGCAGAAGGATGCGGAGCTGATTGGACTGCCGATTACTGGTACCAGCGGTGTCAAGATCGGCCACTGTGGAGGAGGTTCGTGAAGGACGCCGCTGGGGAGTTGGAGGCAGTCGCCCTCCAGTGACAACGAGCAGAGCGCTATACGGCTAAAACCCAGAAGGTTAGCAGTTGGGACCACGGTGCGTCTTCCAGTCAGTCATCTCAGCCCACGGCACCTGGGTATGTTCTGCACTTCGCCGTGGTTACGGTCGCCGCCACCTAGTGGTGAATGGCGGTAGTGCGTGCATCGTTTACTGGCGATGTTCATAAGCGGGCACGTGACCGTTGCGCGAGTCGATGGGCGTGGCCTTGTTCACCACGCCCCCTTACTACGTCACCCGTCGCCTAGCAACAGAATGCACAACGGCGGAAGTTGCGGCAGCTGCGGCAGCACGCAGTCGTCTCGCCGCACGGACGCGGTTTTAAGCTCTGTCGACATTCGAAACGACAGACATCCAAGTGGCGGAGCAGATGCGGGTGAGTACGTGTGAATCAGGTCACGTTGAAGGATACATCATCAATTACAAGTAGCTACAATCGCGCTACCACAGTGCGACTTATTACGTTGTACGAATACACTACATTCTACACCGCTTAACCACGCCGTTTGCTATACCCGGCCGTTGCTAGGGACGCCGTCGCTAAGGCTGGACCAACGGTCAAGCGACGGGCGGGCTCCGTACGTTACAGTCGTGTTTGTATTTTATATATTTTATTATTTTGTTGTTTCCCTTCAACGTGACTTTACCGAAAAAACTAAGAATACAGTCGTGTTTGTGTCACGTCTGCTCGTGTGGTTGTTGCGCTGCAACGTTTCGTACAGCGCCCTTTGCGTCTATGGGCGTGAAGGAAGGGGGCGACGTCTACCACGCCCTCTTATTACGTCGCGGCGCAGAGCGCCAAGTCTCTGGGCGTCTCTCCGCACGCACGCGGTTTGAGCCTCGAGTGGAGTCGACGGACATCGAGGGGCGGGTGAAAGTGCGGTGGCGGGTCAAGCTTCAGGCGACATCAATTTCAAGTTGGCTCAACTGCGCGCCGCCTCACGACTGCACTGTACCACAACACTACCACACGACTATTAATTAACACGCTGTACACTTCCACCACGACCGCACAACTCTAGACACCGCTTTACCACAACATTTGCTATGGCCAGCCGATGCTAGGAATGCCGGCGCTAAGGCTGTACACTCGTGTGAGTGTTTCACTAGTGTGAGTGTTTCACTAGTGTGAGTGTTTCACTCGTGCGACTGTTACACTCGTGCGAGTGTTACACTCGTGCGAGTGTTTCACTCGTATGAGTGTAACACTCGTGTGAGTGTAACACTCGTGTGAGTGCTACACTCGTGTGATTGTAACACTCGTGTGAGTGTAACACTCGTGTGAGTGCTACACTCGTGTGAGTGCTACACTCGTGTGAGTGTAACACTCGTGTGAGTGCTACACTCGTGTGAGTGTAACACTCGTGTGAGTGTAACACTCGTGTGAGTGCTACACTCGTGTGAGTGTAACACTCGTGTGAGTGTAACACTCGTGTGAGTGCTACACTCGTGTGAGTGCTACACTCGTGTGAGTGCTACACTCGTGTGAGTGCTACACTCGTGTGAGTGTAACACTCGTGTGAGTGTTACACTCGTGTGAGTGTAACACTCGTGTGAGTGCTACACTCGTGTGAGTGCTACACTCGTTTGAGTGTAACACTAGTGTGAGTGTAACACTAGTGTGAGTGTTTCACTCGTGTGAGTGTTTCACTCGTGTGAGTGTAACACTCGTGTGAGTGAAACACTCGTGCGAGTGTTACACTCGTGCGAGTGTTTCACTCGTGCGAGTGTTACACTCGTGCGAGTGTTACACTCGTGCGAGTGTTACACTCGTGCGAGTGTTTCACTCGTGCGAGTGTTTCACTCGTGCGAGTGTTTCACTAGTGAGAGTGTTTCACTAGTGAGAGTGTTTCACTAGTGAGAGTGTTACACTCGTGTGAGTGTAACACTCGTGTTTGTGTCACGTTCACTAGTGTGAGTGTTACACTCGTGCGAGTGTTACACTCGTGTAAGTGTTACACTAGTGTGAGTGTAACACTCGTGTGAGTGTAACACTAGTGTGAGTGTTTCACTAGTGGAGTGTAACACTAGTGTGAGTGTTACACTCGTGTGAGTGCTAACACTAGTGTGAGTGCTACACTCGTGTGAGTGTAACACTCGTGTGAGTGCTACACTCGGGTGAGTGCTACACTCGTGTGAGTGTAACACTCGTGTGAGTGCTACACTCGTGTGAGTGTAACACTCGTGTGAGTGCTACACTCGTGTGAGTGTAACACTCGTGTGAGTGCTACACTCGTGTGAGTGTAACACTAGTGTGAGTGTAACACTCGTGTGAGTGTAACACTCGTGTGACTGTTTCACTCGTGTGAGTGTAACACTCGTGTAAGTGCTACACTCGTGTGAGTGTAACACTCGCGTAAGTGCTACACTCGTGTGAGTGTAACACTCGCGTGAGTGTTTCACTCGTGTGAGTGTAACACTCGTGTGAGTGTTTCAATCGCGCGAGTGAAACACTCGTGCGAGTGTTTCAATCGCGCTAGTGTAACACTCGTGCGAGTGTTTCATTCGCGCGAGTGAAACACTCGTGCGAGTGTTTCACTAGTGAGTGTTTCACTAGTGAGAGTGTTTCACTAGTGTGAGTGTTTCACTCGTGTTTGTGTCACGTTTACTAGTGTGAGTGTTACACTCGTGCGAGTGTTACACTAGTGTGAGTGTTTCACTCGTGTGAGTGTAACACTAGTGTGAGTGTTTCACTAGTGAGTGTTCCACTCGTGTGAGTGTTTAACTCGCGCGAGTGTAACACTCGTGTGAGTGTTTCACTCGCGCGAGTGTAACACTCGTGTGAGTGAAACACTCGTGCGAGTGTTTCACTCGTGCGAGTGTTACACTCGTGCGAGTGTTTCACTAGTGCGATTGTTTCACTAGCGAGTGTTTCACTAGTGAGTGTTTCACTAGTGAGTGTTTCACTAGTGAGAGTGTAACACTCGTGCGAGTGTTTACACTCGTGTTTGTGTCACGTTCACTAGTGTGAGTGTTACACTCGTGCTAGTGTTACACTCGTGTGAGTGTTACACTAGTG